GAATTTAGTGCTATTAATTTAGACAAGTGAAAGTCAGTTATTTTTCCAGCTTCTCATCACTTTCCACAAGATCCTGCTGGAAATATGTCTATGTGAACATCAAGTCTATGCAGGATCTCCACAGCTGCTAGTATTGACTGTGTTGGAACATGTGTGAATAATGATGACTTAAGTGAGATAACGGAGTAATTATGCATCAATAGAAAACAAACTATTGCAGGCAACTGGAGAAAACTAGCAGAACAATAGAAAAGATTTTATGACACTAAAAGTTCCATTCTTCAAAAGGTGTGCTCGCTCATTAATAACAAGTGGTAGTCACATGCGTGTGATATTTGATAGTTCTCAGCTGGACATTGTTCCTCACAATGTCTTAAACTACTGAGTGTATTTATTGCTAGCATGTTTTACAAACATATAACTATATCAAAAATTAAGTGTATAATTATCCGTATAAAAAAATTAGTTATGCATACTTTCACTTTAAGTTGTAATTTTCTCCTGATTTTGCTTTCCCATGCAACGCTTTGTAATGAGATCCTAACATATGTGTGAATGTTATTATTCTTATTGTAATTTTCCTTAACCCCCATGGGACAGCATCTGATCTCTGGTTGCTACTTCTAATTATTGGCCCAGCTGGGAATTTGTCATGCACTAGCATATCATCCAGTAAATAACCTTCTCCAAACTGAAAATGAAGAACAATGAGAAATTTGAATGATGACTGAAATTTTAGTTTATGAAACAAAAACTGTTGTGGCCCTAACAAAATAACGAATTCAGACCCATCAATAATTTAAACAAATATGTCCTGTTTATAACCACATGCATCTGCTTCCTCCTTGAACTCATTTTCTTTTAAAGCACTCAACAACAGTTTTTCAATTACATTTTGCATCCCGTTTCAGAGGGATGTTGGTTTTTAGATATTTTCTAAAAATGCTAATATTCAATTCTGGTTTCATCATGTGATTGTTGCTCAATCCAGTCAGCGTTAATGACTAAGGGCCATGCTGCAAGTTTAGGATTGAGATTTATGAAGTTTCTCTGAAATTTCACAGTGTTTCATGTTATGGCCAGGCCAAACACCCTCAAAATAAATGAAGAAGATAGCCTAGACTCAATGTTTTCTTACGGTAAAAGCGAATGGCAAGAATTGCGTTCCAGTTGCAATTCAATAGGTCTAACTACCAGATTTGAAGCAAAACATGCTTTATTATTGCATTATAGGTAAACTACAACAGAAGATAGAAAAAAGTTGGAATAGTTAACTCTTTTGGAAAACTTAACAGAATAATAGATTATTTAAAACTGTTCCAAAGTAGTAACATCCCATGAACACACCCTGGACAAAGGCAAATTCAATAAAACAGAATGTCTCACATGCAATTCTAGCAGCAGAAAAAGAACCTCCAGCTTTTAGCTATAACCTAGAGCAAGGAAAAACAGCTTCCATATCCAGCGTCAAGGCCCCAGCAGCTGCTACTGAAAGACTAAAACAAAAAATCCTGGTTCTGTGGGAGCTTGTCCCTCCCATTCAGGCTGCTTCTATTGTTCCAATTTAAAAGAAAACCCAAGACCTCAAAAGCTATTTATGGGCTTTCAATAGACAGCTTTTCACCTCTGTGTTAAAACCTTTCTTCACAAAAAAAAACAAAATATACCTCTTAAAGTCATAGTATCATCACATTCATTTTTACCTTGGAATAAAATGTACTTTAAACAAATATATAACATTTTTATACATGCAGCTGATTAAAAAATACTGTACAATCAAACCAAAGAACTGCAGATCCTGGAAATCAGAAACAAAAACAGAAACTGCCAGAGAAACTCAGCAGTTCTGGTCTCATCTGTGAAGAGAAAGCAGAGTTAATGTTTTGGGTCCAGTGACACTTCTTCAGAATGGCAGAAGAAGGTAGAATATTCTGAAGAAGGGTCACTGGATGTGAAATATTAACTCTGCTTTTCTCCACAGGTGCTGCTAGACCTGGTGAGTTCCAGCAATTTCTGTTCTTGTTTCTGAAAAATACTGTAGTTGCGTCATGTTTTAATAGAAGTAGACTAGTCTTAGATTTAAGTTTAGAATTTGGTGCAGCAGATGGAACAGCACTGCAGCCAGGAAAACTGGTGTAGCTTGCAGGTATTCACACAAGATGGCTAAGTGCCCCCATTAAGGAACCTCAAATTGCCCAAAATATCTTTAGCAGCAGAATCCGTTTTTACAACAAGCCTGTTCTTTGTGTAGGGTAAGGTAACAACTTTATAATCAGAAAACTTTGGAAAAATTAAAATATAGTATTACCAATTTATTCCCTTATTCTGTGTAAGATGTGAGACAGATAGGACTTTCACCTAGAGTAGTCCTGATGAACTGTGCACCCTGATTAACTCCTCACCTATGGATTCATGCAAGTCACTTCCCTGTGAATGAATGAACATGATTGCTGCAGTCAGTGGTACCATTTACAGATTTCTGGGATTTCATCTCCTTGCGTTAAGATTCTGATGTGGTTCTGTTTAAGAAAGTACCTTGTTAACATTTTGAGTCCAGTGCGACTTCTTCAGATCATCAGAGTGCTGAAAAAGAGACAGACTAGACTCAAACATTAACTCTATTTCTCCCTGCAAAGATGCTGCCAGACCTGCTGAATTATTCCAGCATTTTGTTTGTGTCAGATTTCCAGCATCTGCAGTATTTTGCTTTTATTCAGGAAATACACAATTGGTTACCCAGTTCACTAGGTCACAGGTAAACATTTTCATTCACTGCCATGCATCAACTCACACTTGCTATGGGAAACAGCTTTTTTTTAATGTTGTAGGGTGCAGGGGCAGGTTTAACTGATGGCATATAGTACTGGATGCTGTTGACCTTAACCCTATATCTAATCCATTAGAAAATACACAATCTTTTTTTAGAAAGTATTCATGGGCTATGGGTATTGCTGGCTGGGTCAGTATTTATTGCCCATCCCTAGTTTCTCTTGAAAAGTTAGTGGTGAGTTGTCTTCTAGAATCGCTGCGCTGGCCAGTTACATCCACAATGCCATTATGGAGGCAGTTACAAGATTTTGACCAATGGCACTGAAGGAACGGTGATATATTTCCAAGTCAGGTTAGTGGCTTGGAGAAGAACTTCCCTTCACTGGTAGTCTAGTGGTTAAGATTCAGTGCTCTCATCGCCCCTCTCTAGGTTCATTTCCTGGTTAGGGAGCTCAAGTTGTCCTTCGCTGGTTTTTAGGGTGGCACAGTGGCTCAGTGGTTAGCACTGCTGCTTCACAGTACCAGGAACCCGGGTTCGATTCCACCCTCGGGTGACTGTTTGTGTGGACTTTGCACATTCTCCCCATGTCTGTGTGAGTTTCCTCCCACAGTCCAAAGATGTGTAGGTTAGGTGGATTGGCCATGCTAAATTGCCCATAATGTTCAGGGATGCCTATATTAGGTGGGCTAAAGGGGGATGGGTCTGGGTGGGATGCTCAAAGGGTCGGTGTGGACTTGTTGGACCAAAGGGCCTGTTTCCACACTGTAGGGATTCTATTCTATGATAATGTTCCCATGTATCTTCTGTCCTTGACCTTTGTGCTGATAGTGGATATGGGTTTGGAAGGTGCTGTCTAAAAGCCTTGGTGAATTTCTGCCATGTATCTTGTAGATAATACATACTTCTGCTACTGTACGTTGGTGGAGGAGGGAGTGAATGTTTGTGAATGTTGCACCAATCAAGTGGTCTATCTTGTTCTGAAAGGTATAAAGTGTAAAAGGTCCACCTCATTTTCTCTTGCTGGGGATGACCATTGCCTGGTACTTGTGTGATGCAAATGTTACTTACCACTTATCAGCCCAAACCTGGATATTGTCCAGGTCCTCCTCCAAGGAAGATAGATGTTGATCAACATCACCTTCAGCATGATAAAGCAGAGTAGTCTCAGGTGCAACAAGCTAGATATGACTTAATGACACATGCTCCCAATGGAACTCAGTTGGGTGAAATCATTATTCATTGACTGTAATGTTTTGATGCTGGATAGCCAAATAGACCCTGTCTATTCCCAAATGCAAATGCAGTGCTTTTATTTATTCATTTTTTGCTTTTCCTGTTGTGAAATAAATTTAATGTTAAAAATTGCCTGTTGGAAGTCATTGTAACAAGTGATGCTACATGTTACCAATAGTTTATGCTATGATGGGTATAATGGAAAGGGTTCTAATATTATATGACACTAAGGAATGGAAGTGTTGCTAAGTCAAAACATGTAGTTGCAGCTGAAATGACAATCATTAAGTCAGGTGATGATGTAAATCGAAAATATATTGAGCTTCTATTTATATTGAGGCATCACCAACACAATCTATGTGCCTTCAAATGGTCTTCTTTTCCCTTTCCCTCCTACTAGGTGTACGTTCTGTCCCAGTTTCTTCAGACAGGCTGGAGGTAGTCTGCCCTATAGTGGAGACAGCTGGTCTTGGAATTTTGGGTGGATGACCACAGGGCATTGATGTTTGAGGGCCCAGACATGTTGAGAGTGTTCTGGTCAGATTCAGGTTCACCCCACCCTAAAACCAAAAGGCATATTTTTAAGGTGAGAGGAGAAAGATTTAAAAGGGTCCTGAGGGGCAACTTTTTCACACAGAGAGTGGTTTGTATGTGGAATGAACTGCCTGAGTGAGTGGTAGATGCGGGTACAGTTACAACATTTAAAGACATTTGGACAGATACAATAATAGGAAAGGTTTAGAGTGATATGGGCCAAATTGAGGCAAATGGGACTAGTTTTGTTTGGGAAACTTGGTCAACATGGATGAGTTGGACCAAAAGGTCTGTTTCCATTCTCTGTGACTCAATGACTCTATAGCATACATAAATGGCAGACATTTTGCTCAGAAAATGATTCCTTATGAGTGATATTCAAATGTTTTCATTTAACAATAACTACTTAATTAATGATTAACATTTCTTATAAAGATTAACTTCACTTCTGTCATTTTATTAGCTCGACAGATTGAGGAGCTGCAGCAGATTAATTTGTTACCACGGGACTGGCTGCTGTACATTGTCACCCGCAGTTACTATGCAGTGAGTTGATACACTGATTTTTAAACTTTAACTTTGATTTGAGTCAGAAATGGTTCAAAGATGCTGATTAGTGATCCTTTTGTAATTTCTAGAGGTAACAAGTTCTTTTCAGAAATTAATTACTGAATGTTATCCACTTTAGTTTGGAGAAGGGCATATTGAAATATTGTTTCAGAGGTGGGAGACCAGGAATTGCAAGGGATTAAGGTGTCTGAACACTAATACACAGGTATAAAACATTATGGAAATATTTAATGGACCAGTGAGCCCGAGAGCAAATTGGTATTAAAATGTGAGGAAACTATGCTGAATTGCACTAAGTCTTGATCTGACTCAATTGAGAATGCTGTGTTCAGCTTGCTCCGGTATGTCATAAGGACAGTTTGAATACACCTGCATTCTCTTGAGTTGAAGGGTGGTCGAATAGACATGTTTAATTTAATAGGAAATTTCAGGAGGGTAATTACAGGGAGACTGCCTCTGTGGAGTTTGCACATTCTCCCCGTGCCTTTGTGGGTTTCCTTCGGGTGCTCTGGTTTCCTCCCACAGTCCAAAGATGTGCAGGTTAGGTGGATTGGCCATGCCAAAATAAATTTGCCCTGTAGAGTCCAGGGATGTACAGGTTAGGTGGGTTAGCCATAGTAAAAAACCCTATACAGGGTTATGGGGATGTGGTGGGTGGGTGGGATGCACAACGGAGGGCCCGATGGGCTGAATGGCCTCTTTCTGTATTGTAGGGATTTTATGATTGAAGAAGATAATTCCCCTGGTGGCACTGTCCAGATAGAGCAAGACGATTCAAAAGTGAAGTCAAGAAGCATGTTTTTAAGCAAAGGGGAGGCTGAATTAATTATTTGTAACAAAGCAAAACTACAAATTGTTCTTCAAACTAAAGTATTTATTGTGTTTAATGCCTGAGAAAAAACAAAATGTATCTCAAATAATTTTTAGATTGTATTACTGGGAATACCAATTATCGATCTGCTTCCATTTTAGTCCGTAACAGAGCTTGTGGTAATTTCTCTTAGAACAGCAGGAATGTACCTAAAATGGCCATACGAGAGACCATAAATTTCATAAATAAAGCATTTCTTGATCTGTGTGTATGAAATGGACTTGGGTGTCCAGGGTACAATAACTTGAGGCTGACACAAAACTTTCAGAGAGTTGCGAAGCAGGAACTGAAGATTGATTAACTTCAAGCTGATGGAATGGAGGTGGCCAGGTGGCAGATAAAGTTTATGATGGACAAGCATGAAATGATACATTTTAGTAGGAAGACTGAAGAGAAGCATAATAAGATAATTCTATAAGGAGTACAAGAGCAAAGAAACTTGGTGCAGAAATTGTTGACAGTGGCAGGGAGGTTGAGAAAGTGTTTACAGCAGTACAGGCAGTTGCTGTGATGTGAACAGACTCCATTCCTGAGTCTGTTCACAGTTGATTCATACACAAGTCAGAACACAATGCAGGACAATATAAAGCTGCCAGTTGTAAGTACTGGAAATGTTTGTATATCAGAAATTTAAACTTACACCACTGTATGAGATTGCATTGGTAAGTACAAGAGTTCATAAGTCAGACATTCATAAATCACGGACCCCCTGTATATGGGATCTTAAACTTTACAAATAGTGGCATACAGTACAAAAGCAAGGGAGTTATCTTGCATATTTATAAAATTTAGTTGTGTCCAAACTGGAACATTGTGTCTGGAGTGAGCATTGTACTTCAGGCAAGTTATGAAATCTTTCAAGACGATGCAAAGAAACTTTATGAAGTTACAGAGATGAAATATTTCAATGCTGTGGAAAGACTACAGAAACTGGGTTTGTTCCCCTTGGAGAACAGGTGGTTGAGAGGAGATTTGATTGAGGTGTTCGAGTTTGTCTACTGAGTTAGTATGGGTGGAAATTAGAAACAGGAAAGGAGCAGTCACTTTATTGGGAGTTTTCTATAGACCTCCCAATAGCAACAGAGACACTGAGGAACAGATTGGGAAGCAGATTTTGGAAAGGTGCAGAAGTAATAGGGTTGTTGTCATGGGTGACTTCAATTTCCCGAATATAGACTGGAACCTCCTTAGTGCAAATAGTTTGGACGGAGCACTTTTTGTCAGGTGTGTCCAGGAAGGATTTCTGACTCAATGTGTAGATAGGCCGATGAGAGGGGAGGCCATATTGGATTTGCTACTTGGCAATGAACTAGGCCAGGCATCAGATCTCTTGGTGGGAGAGCATTTTGGTGATAGTGATCACAACTCCATGACCTTTATGATAGTCATAGAGAGGGATAGGAGCAGATGATATGGGGAAGTATTTAACTGGGGGAGGGGGAATTACAATGCTATTAGGCAAGAACTGCGGAGCATAAATTGAGATCATATGTTCTCAAGGAAATGCATGACAGAAATGTGGAGGTTGTTCTGGGAGAACTTGCTACGAGTACTGGATGGGTTTGTCCCACTGAGGCAAGGAAGGGATGGTAAGGTGAAGGAACCTTGGATGACAAGATACGTGGAACATCTAGTCAAGAGGAAGAAGGAAACTTACTTAAGGTTGAGGAAGCAAGGATCGGACAGGGCTCTGGAGAGCTACAAGGTAGCCAGAAAGGAACTGAGGAATGGACTTAGGAGAGCAAGAAGTGGGTATGAAAAAGCCTTGGCGGGTAGGATTAAGGAAAACCCCAAGGTGTTCTATACTTATGTGAGGAACAAGAGGATGGCCAGAGTGAGGGTAGTGCCGATCAGGGATAGTGGAGGGAACTTGTGTGCGGACTTGGTGGAGGAGGGGAGGTCCTTAATGAATACTTCAGTATTCACCAGTGAGAGGGTCCTTGATGTTTGTGAGGACAGGTTGATGTTAGAAAGGAGGATATGCTAGAAATTTTGAAAAACATGAGGATAGATAAGTCCCCTGGGCCAGACGGGATAAGCCCAAGGTTCTTACGGGACGCGAGGGAAGAGATTGCTGCCCCTTTGGCAATGATCATTGGGTCCTCACTGTCCACTGGAGTATTACCAGATGATTGGAGCGTGGAAAATGTTATTCCCTTGTTCAAGAAAAGGAATAGGGATAATCCTGGGAATTGTAGACCAGTCAGTCTTACTTCTGTGGTGGGCAAATTATTGGAGAGGATTCTGAGTGATAGTATTTATGATTATTTGGAAAAGCACACATTGATTAGAAATAGTCAGCATGGCTTTTTGAGGGGCAGGTCATGACTCACAAGCCTTATTGAATTCTTTGAGGATGTGACAAAATACTTTGATGAAGACAGAGCAGTGGATGTGGTGTATATGGATTTTAGCAAGGCATTTGATAAGGTTCCCCATGGCAGGCTCATTCAGAAAGTTAGGAGGCATGGGATTCAGGGAAATTTGGCTGTCTGGATACAGGATTGTCTGTCCAATAGAAGACAGAGGATGGCAGTAGATGGAAAGTATTCAGCCTGGAGCTTGGTGACCAGTGGTGTTCTGCAGGGATCTGTTCTGGGACCCCTGCTCTTTGTGATCTTTATAAGTGACTTGGATAAGGAAGTGGAAGGGTGGGTTAGTAAGTTTGCCGATGACAGGAAGGTTGGTGAAGTTGTGGACAGCATGGAGGGCTGTTGTAGGTTGCAATGGGACATTGATAAGATGCAGAGCTGGGCAAAGCAGTGGCAGATGGAATTGAACCCGGAAAAGAGTGAAGTGATTCATTTTGGAAAGTCAAATTTGAATGCAGAATACAGGGTTAATGGCAGGAGTCTTGGCAGTGTGGAGGGACAAAGGGATCTTGGGGTCCACATCCATAGATCCCTCAAAGTTGCTACCCAAGTTGATAAGGTTGTAACGAAGGCATATGGTGTGTTGGCTTTCATTGGCAGGGGAATTGAGTTTAAGAGCCGCGAGGTTATGCTGCAGCTCTATAAAACTCTGGCTAGACCACACTTGGAATATTGTGTTCAGTTCTGGTCACCTCATTATAGGAAGGATATGGAAGCTTTAGAGAGGGTGCAGAGGAGATCTACCAGGATGCTGCCTGGACTGGAGGGCAGGTTTTATGAGGAAAGGTTGAGGGAGATAGGGCTTTTCTCTTCGGAGCGAAGAAGGATGAGAGGTGACTTGATAGAGGGGTACAAGATGATGAGACGCATAGATAGAGTGGATACCCACAGACTCTTTCCCAGGACAGAAATGACTATTACAAGGGGGCATAATTTTAAGGTGATTGGAGGAAGGTATAGGGGAGATGTCAGAGGTAGGTTCTTTACACAGAGAGTGGTGGGTGCGTGGAATGTGCTGCCGGCGGTGGTAGTGGAGTCAAATACATCAGGGACATTTAAGCGACTCTTGGATAGGCACATAGATGATAGTAAAATGTAGGGTATGCAGGGTAGCTTGATCTTAGAGTAGGATAATAGGTTGGCACAACATCGTGGGCTGAAGGGCCTGTACTTGCTGTACTGTTCTATGTTCTATGAAATCATATGGGATATAGACATAATGCATAGGGAGAAGTAGTTCCTTTTAGTGGAATTGTCAATAACCACAAGACACCAATACAAGGACTGGTGCTTGAGAAAATTTTTTTTTACACAACAAGTGGTTTCAATCTGGAATGAGCATCCTGAAAGTATAATGGAGGCGGATTCAACCAGGGATTTGTTACCATCCTCACAGGACCTAGGAAAAAGATCATACAATGGGGTTTCACATTTTAAGATCTTTACCAAATAAAAACAAAATCAACTATTATTTCATAGGTAACTAATACATTATAAGCTACAGAAATGGTATTCCTTATTAACATTTTAATACAACTAGAAAGCCCATGGCACATTTAAATTTTACACCATGTTCTCATCAGCTATGTAGTCTGTGGATTCAAGTCCAAATTGTTGCTGATATTCTGCCCAATCAAGTTGAATCATCCTTTTTTTTGTAACAAAGTCCCCTTCACTCCATCTTCTGAATATTTGACTCCTTGACAACTCATCATTTCTCTCCAAGAAGCTTTGTTCCTTTAACAGCTGTCTGTCCTTACCTGCATCCCATTGGTGATTAACCCATAAACAGGCTTTTTCTTCTCCCTGGTACAACAGACAGTGACTAACTGAGCCTACGAACCTGTAAGTCTCTCAACTTACCATAAGAAATACCATATTGTATGGACTGAATGTTTTCATTCACTTTGCAGCTACAACATGGTGGAGATGTGCCATGTCTGAAATACGTTCCCTCTGAAGCAGTCCGGTTTGGCTTCATCATTACAGAGGTATAAAGAATAGTTATAATAGAGGAGGATACCCAAATTATTCATCTCCTCGAAAAGAAATCTTTTATTCCCTGTAATATAGCTATTTAAATTTTATAACTTTTCCATAATTTAGTTTTCTGAATTTTATAGTAAAAGTGCCATCTTGAGTTCAGATAACATACAAATCTTGCATCTTGTTCTAACAGTTTTTGATGTTATCTGAAACTCTCAAGCAGCTTTCTTGCAATTGTAGAGAGAGCAAGAACTGCAGATGCTGGAGTCAGAGACAACATGGTGTGGGGCTGGAGGAGCACAGCAGGCCAGGCAGCATCAGAGGAGCTGGAAAGTTGACGTTTCGGGTTGGGACCCTTTTTCAGAAATGGGGAGGGGGAAAGGAGATGAGAAATAAATAGAGAGAGGAGGGGTAGGGCTGGGCAAGGTAGGTGGGATGGTGATCGGTGGATGCAGGTAGGGAGTGGTAGGAATTGGTCAGTGGGATGGGTGGGGCGGATAGGTGGGAGAGAAGATGGACAAGTTGTGTCAGGTCAAGGAGGCAGGGATGAAAGGGAGAGTTGGACATGGAATGAGGCCAGGGGTGGGGAGATTTTAAAACTGGTGAATTCTATGTTTAGGCCATTGGGCTGTCGGCTCCTGAGGCAGAATATGAGGTGTTGCTCCTCCAGTTTGCGGATGGTGTTGTTGTGACACTGGAGGAGGCCCAGGATGGACATGTCACCCAGGGAGTGGGAGGGGAGTTAAAATTGTTGGCAACCAGAAGGTGTTGTAGTTTGTCATGTACAGTGTGCAGATGCTGTATAAACGGTCTCCGAGTCTACATTTGGTCTCACCGATGGAGAGGAGGCCACATCAGGAGCAGCAGATACAGTAGACCAAGTTGGCAGATGTACAGACGTGCACCTGTCTGATATGAAAAGTTTATTTTGTGCCTTGAATGGAGGTGAGGGGGGAGGTGTAGGGGCAGGTGTAACACTTCCTGCTGTCTGCTGTTGCAGGGAAAGGTGCTGGGGGTGGCATTAGTGGGGAGTGTGGAGAGGACGAGGGAGTCACGGAATGAGTGGCCCCTATGAAAAGCAGATAGGGGTGGGGAGGAAAATATCTCTTTGGTTGTGGGGTTGGATTGTAGGTGGCAGACATGGCAGAGAATGATGTGCTGGATGCAGAGGTTGGTGAGGACAAGGAGGATTCTGTCTTTATTTTTGTTGGGGGTATACCCTTCCACCTATCACAGCTGACAAAATTGTCATGGAAAGGACGTTATTTTGTAATTTTGATTTTCTGATTGATGGCTATAGAAGAGATGCAGACTTGCTTTCACATTGACACCAAGTACAGAGTATAATGCTGACATTTTGTAGACATTGAGGATATAACATTCACACTGAATCCACCTGGAAGGGCTAGGGCAGAATCTTAGCAGGCTTATCCCAAAACTTTGTGGGCAGCTAGATCCCTTGCTGAGATATTTGCATCATCAATAGCCATGGGTGAGGTATAGAAGACTTGAGGGTGGCTAATGTGGTGCCATTACTTAAGAAAGATGGTAAGGAAAAGCCAGGGAACTTTAGACCGGTGAGTCTGAGGACTCTGGGGGACAGGATTTCCATATATTTGGAAACACAAGGACTGATTGGGGATAGTTAACGTGGCTTTTTGTGTGGGAAATTGTGTCTCATTAATTTGATTGTGTTTTTTGAACAAGTGACAAAGAAAATTGATGAAGGCAGAGCGGTGAACATTGTTGAACGCCTTGCTGAAGTCCATATAGACAAAGTTCCACTTGGTAGACTGGTCAGTAAGATTAGATCACATGGAATACAGGGAGAGCTGGTCATTTGGAAACAAAATTGGCTTGAAGGTAGGAGACAGAGGGTGGTGATGGAGGGTTGTTCTTTTGGACTGGCGAGCTGTGACAAGCAGTGTGCTGCAAGGATTGGTGCTGGGTCCACTGCTTTTTGTCATTTATATGAATGATTTAGATGTAAATATGGGAGGTATGGTTCATAAGTTAGCACCAAAATAAGTGGTGTTGTGGACAGTGAAGACAAGACCTTGATCAGATGGACCAAGGAGTGGCAGATGGAGTTTAATTTTGATAAATATGAGATGTTTACATTTTGGTAAGGCAAATCAGGTCAGGAATTATACACTTAATGGTAGGGTCCTGAGAATGTTGCTGAATGAGGAGACCTTAGAGTGCAGGTTCATAGTTCCTTGAAGGTGGAGTCACAGGTCGACAGGGTGAGGCAGAAGGTGTTTGGTATGCTTGCCTTTATTGGTCAGTGCATTGAGTATGGGAGTTGGGATGTCATGTTGCAGCGTACAAGGACATTGATCAGGCCACTTTTGGAATACTGCATTCAATTCTGGTCTCATTGTTATGGGAAAGATGTTGTTAAACTTGAAACAGTACAGAAAAGATTTACAAGATGTTGCTAGGTCTGGAGGGTTTGAGCTGTAGGGAGAAGTTGAATGGGCTGGGGCTATTTTTCCTGGTGTGTCGGAGGCTGAGGGGTGAACTTTCAGAGGTTTCTAAAATCATGGGGGCCATGGATAGAGTGAATAGCCAAATGATTTTCCAGGGTAGGGGACTGCAAAACTGGATGGCATATGTTTAAGGTGAGAGGGGGAAGATTTAAAAGGGACCTAAGGGCAGATTTTTCACACAGAGGGTGGTGCATGTATGGAACAAGCTGCCAGAGGAAGTTTTAGAGGCTGGTACAATTACAATCTGTAAAAAGCATCTGAATGTGTACATGAATAGGAATGGTTTACAGGGATGTGGGCCAAATGCTGGCAAATGGGACTAGATTAATTTAGGATATCTGGATGGACAGGTTGGACCAAAGGGTCTGTTTCTGTGTTGTGCATCTCTATGACTCTGTGGGCCATGGCACGATGAGCGATATAATCAGACAAGACAATCATCTCACTGCAACTTACACATTTTGCTCAATCAGGGTGGTAAGATTCTCACCAGACAGCAGTGTTCTCAGTTAATACTCTTTACTGCTTATTAAATCATAGAATCCCTTCGGTGTAGTAAGAGGCCATTCAGACTATTGAGTCTGCAGCAACCCTTCAAACAGCATCCCATCCATACCCATTCCATCCCCATAACACTGCACATCCCCGCCCAATACAAGGCAGTTTAGCATGGCCAAAGCACCTGACCTGCACATCCTTGGACTGTGGGAGGAAACTGGAGCACCTGGAGGAAAGCCACACAGACAAGGGAAGAATGTGCAAACTCCATACAGACAGTTGCCCAAGACTGGAATTGAACCTGTGAGGCAGCAGCGCTAGCCACTATGCCACCGTGCCATCCAAATGGTTTGTTAACAGTCACCATGGATTATGATCTTATTAAACCTGCCATAAAAGCAGACATTGGAAAAACTCAGGCACACTCCATGGACACTGGCCATATATATCTCACATCCATGGACACTGGCATCTGACTTATGCCAGTCCTCATGAACCCTCATAGTACATCTCCAATTGCTTACAGGTTGCTTCTGCACATCAATGTTGCACCTTGGTCTTCACCAGCCATTATCATTGTAATGCTGCATCAAGAACACTTTGTAATTAGGTACACACACCCCCAGCTCATGGACTAGACTTGGCTGCACCTTTGGGCTTTTCACTCACTCACTCACTCTGAGCCTACCTGGATGCTTGCAGTCTCCCTGCCTTCCATTGCCTCACCTTTTTGCACTTTGCCCCCTCATCCAGAGTGAGTGAGTGCAATGACAGCAAGTGAAAAGTGTGTGTCCCTGAGCACAAAGAGTCCTTGCTGCAGCATTACAGTAATATCTGTAAGTATAGCCTGAGATGAAGTATTGTGATGTGAGTGCCTGACACAATATGGAGGTCTTTTGGAGAAAACAGAGGGTTAAACCCAGCCAAGAACCTGTTCGGGTTTTCATGTCAAATTTTCCCGATGGCTAGTTTGTACAGTCTGTTTGGTGAGATTTCAACCAATGGTGAGTTAGACTGTTAAGCCATTTAACAAGCAATAAAGAATATCAATTGAGAACTCACCACTCAATGGCGAGAATCTTGCAATGCCATTTGAACAGAGTAGTGAAATTGTGGGGAGATGATCATGTGTTGAAATGACCATCTCACCCGATTCTGCCATGCATCTTTCCATTGCCCATGTCTCTCAAAACCTGGTGAGTTTCTGCCAATAGACTGTGTTCTACTGACATAAATTCACAACTAGCCATAACTTTGGAAAATTGTATATCCACTTAGTAAATTAATCTGGAATGAGAAGCTAGCCTTAGTAACGGTAGCTATACAATGACTCAATTTTATAAAAACTGGTTCATTAATATCTTTGCAGAAAGAAAAATTTTGTAATCTATATCTAGTCTGGCCTATGTGTGGTTCTAGTCCTTAGCAATGTGGTTGACTCTTAATTGTCCTTAGACATGGCCTGACAAGTCATTGAGTCAAGGACAATTAAGAAGAGCAATAAATGCTTACCAGCAATGTCAACAATTGGTGAAGGTACCAAAAAAAAGTTAAAATTAGATGTACCATGGCTTAGGTAGCATCAACGCTTTCCATCTTTCCAGATTGTTACTTATCAATGCAGCTTATTAACTCGCTCAATTGGAAGCATGCTGATCTCTAAGTCAGAGGATTGTGTGGTCAAGTCCCTGTTCACAACTTGTGCCCAAAAATCTACTTGACACACTGTACAGTCCTGAGGGTGTGCTGAACTGTTGTAAGTGCTGTCTTTCAAATGAAACTTTGAATTGAGGCCCCATCTGTTTTTCGATGGTAATAAACAACATAAAACTTCTCTCTCAAAGTGGAGTTGGAGACTTATACCCAGCACTATGGCCAATATTTATCCCGCAAACATCAGCCTAAAAACATGTACTTTTGTCATTATCACATTGCTGTTTATTGGACCTTGCTGCGTGCCAATTCTCTGCCACATTTCCTGGATTACAACAATCACTACACTCAAAAGTACCTAATTGCTA